GTACAAAGGAGGCTTGACAGCTCCTTTACGACATCTTTTCTTTTAATATCTCGATCTGTTAGTTTCGCTGAATAAATATAAAAGACCCCACTTATTTATATTTGTTAACATAATGCATCTTTTTATTTGAAACAATATTTGCGTTTCCTTAATTACCAGCCTTATTAATAAGAATGACAAATCAAAATGCGATTTCCAGTCGTTATTTTAGGTCGACTTCAATTTCCTTCAGTTTAATATCACGGTAGTAAACAGAGCCAGAGCTCCTGCATTATTGTGCTTCAACGCCGCAACGCTCCAATCCAAGTCTAATCCAGGAAAAAGCAGCTAGCGTTTCTGATTTATTTCGCAGTATGGAACAGCTGAACAGAGATACGAGAAGCCATCTGGAAGCTACCACATATACTGTAATTTATTCCCTAATGACAGTTTTGTCACTTGCGGGAAACTCACTCGTTTGTCTCTCATTCTACCGGAACAGAAGATTACGTACAATCTCTAATTTCTACGTGCTTTCTCTGGCAATAGCCGATATAATCGCGTCTACCTTTTTCTTCCCTTTTTCCACAGTGGCGACGGGCTTACGACGATGGCCATTCGGTTACATCTTTTGTCAGTTCAATGGTTTTCTTGTGCCGTATTGGAGTCAGGTGTCCACTTGCAGTCTTGCCATGGCATCAGTCAATCGATACTTCTGTGTTTTGAAGCCGAGTAAATACCGCCTGTTCTTCACCAGAAAGAAAGCGGCTCTGTCGATTGTGGTAATGTGGGTTTTGCTACTTGTTCAGGCGCTGGCCTTTTTCGCGCTGCCCGTTATATACCGCTGGTATCCCGTCAGCTCATACTGTCGTGGAACGTTCTTGGATAAGATTACGGAAAACATTTATTATGTCTTCTATGGATGTTTCTACGTCATTGCCATGTCACTAGTAGTATTTTGTTACAGCAAAGTTTATCGTGCTATCAGACAACATAACAATGCCGTCATACCTTCTTTACAAGACGCAAACCGCGTTGGATCAAGAAGTGCTCAAGAGATCAAGGCCTCTCGCGTACTATTTGCTGCTGTCGTTGGGTTTTTCGTTTGCTGGACTCCAGCAATTGTAACATTTTTGTTTGAGTTTGGCTTTCTGATTACTGTTCCTCCCATTGTACACTCGCTTTATCCGACCTTGTGTTCTTTCTCTTCTTTGATTAATCCTGTTATTTATGGCGTCATGAACAGAGCCATGCGGAAGGAGTTTGAAAACATCTTGTTCTGTCGAAAAGATGGCTAGCCCTCCGACCCACTATGCGTTATTTTCAGCAAAATTGCACACTTTCAAACAGCAAGAAGTGAGTTTAAAATACACCTATTTTCAAAGAAATTCGAGATGCTTGGATATGTGATGAAACACAGACTCGAGTGTAGACAACCAGCCATGCGTCGAGTTTCAGGAAGCTACTGAAAACTATGTAAACAACAGAGTGTTTTTGTAACAATTCTGTTTGAGTTTGGCTTTCAGATTGCTGTTCCTTCCATTGCACACTCGCTGTTCTGCCGGAAAGATGGCTAATCCCCCGACCCACGATGCGTTTTCTTTTTTTGATTTTTATCAAAATTAAGATTGTGTTTACCTCCGGGATATTAAAACTTTCAGGTTATTATATCAAATATGAGAGGCAGTCTTTTATCACTTGCACATTTGCACATTCTCAAACACCAAAAGGCGAGTTTGGAAATGTGACCAAAAAAAACACTTGGAAGTTCGATAAATCTGTAGCGATCGTCGAAGGAATATTCGGGCTTGAGGACCGAATGGAAGACAACACATCAAGCTTCGTACGTGTTTATGATGGTGAACAGCAAGACGACGCTTTATTCCAGAACGAGGCTGTGACGTAACGATTTCACTCAAATATTGTTACAAAATCTTCTCCAGTTTAGACCTGGAGTGTCAGTAGTCTCTCTCACAGGGCAAACGGAAGGAGGCATGGGAAACCATATATCGTTTTCAGTAAAACGAAACTCCCTTTGGATCAGTGCTTGACTAAAGCTTGGTTGACATATTGAACTCTACAATCGTTAGTTGATTTGTCTACATTAGTTGATTTTCCTTCGTTAGTCGGGTTACCAAAACTAGTTGATTTGCCTACATTAGTTAATTTGCCTACATAGTTGATTTGCCTACATTAGTTAATTTGCGTTTCTTAGTTGATTTGCCTACATTAGTTGATTTGCCTGCATAATTTAATCTGCCTTTCTTAGTTGATTTGCCTACATTATTTGATTTGCCTTCCTTAGTTGATTTGCCTACATTGGCTGATTTGCCTACATTAGTTGATTTGCCTACATTAGTTGATTTGC